GTTGTTTGGCGGGTCTGGGCTGGGGATTCAAACCCGCCACCTTAGGTGTACGTGGCTGGCGCCTTAGCCGGTTGAGCTATAGGCACCGAGCCTCTTTTGAAATTTTTATGAACATAATCATATTCTTAACCAAAAAGAATAATCATATTCTTAACCAAAAAAATAAAGCTGATACCACAGAGATACAAAAGATCATCAGAGACTATTATGAACAAAGACTATTATGACAGAAACTATCATGAACTATTATGCTGAGAAAGTGGAAAATCTAGAGGAAATGGATAAATTCCTAGAAATGTTTAACCTACCACGATTGAATCAGAAAGAAATAGAAAACCTGAATAAACCAATAATGAGCAAAAAGGCTGAATAGGTAATAAAACATCTCCCAACAAATCTAAGACTAAATGAATCCCCTGTCAAATATATAAAGAAGAACTAATATCAATCCACCTCAAACTCTTCCAAAACACTGAATAGGAAGAAATTCTTCTTAACTCATTCTACAAAGCCACCATTACCATGATACCAAAACCAGATGAGGATAAAATAAAAAGAGAAACTACAGGCCAATATCCTTGATAAACATAGACATAGAAATTCTCAACAAAATACTTGCAACCAAATCCAATAGCACGTCAAAATGATAACACACCATGATGAAATGAGATTCATACCAGGGATGCAATGACAGTCAAATATACAGAAATCAATAAATGTGAAACATCACATCAACAGAATGAACAAAAATCATATGATCATCTCAATAGACACAGAAAAATCATTTAATACAATTTAAACATACCTTCATGATAAAAAACTCTCAGGAAATTAGGCATAAAAGAAACATACCTCAAAATAATAAAGGCAATATAGGACATTTCCACAGCCAACATCATACTAAATGTGGAAAAATTGAAAGCATTTACTATAAGAACTGGGAAAAAAGAAAGGATACCCGCTTTCACTGTTACTATTCAGCACAGCATTGGGAGTCCCAGACAGAGCAAGCAGGCAAGAGAAAGAAATAAAAGGCATCCAAACTAGAAAAGAGGAAGTCCTTCTTTGTCATTCTTTGCAAATGACATGACCTTATATTTAGAAAAACCAAAGACTTTACCAAAATTCTTTTAGAACTGATAAACAGATTCAATGCAATCCCTATTAAAATACTATGCAATCTTAAAAAAAGATAAAGCCTTTACCTCTTTTATGTTTAAATGGAAGGATCTAGAACATATTCTCCTGAGTAAAATGTCTCAATGGAGGAAAAAGTATCCAATGTACTCAGTACTTCTATGAAACCTACTTATATTTACTCACACTTTCTTATGAAAGATAGAACACAACTATAGCCCAGGATGAAGGAGAGAAGAGGAGTGGGAAAGGAGGGGAGGAGAGAGGTTTGACAGAAGGAGGGTAAAAGGCAGGACCACATCTATGGAGCATATGACAAGGGTACAAGTGAAATCTGTGAAGTATAGAACATAGATGCTTTGGCACTATAATCAAGTAAATGAGGTGAAAGCTATGATGATTGGTTTGATATAACCACGTCAGACTGTATAAAAAAAATCAGCATACTGTACCCCATACATGCATGAATCTATTCATGATCTATGTGTATTCGACTTAATAAAATAAAATAACAATGTCACTTTTCATAGAAATAGAAGAAACAACCCTAAAATTTGTATTAAACCAAAAAGAACCAGAATAGTCAAAACAATCCTGAAGAAAAAGAACAAAGCTGGAATCATCACACTACCTGTCTTCAAAGTATATTATAAGGCTTAGTAACCAAAACAGCACACTATTGGTATAAAAAGACACAGATCAATGGAACAGAATAGAGAACCCAAAAGTAAAGCCACATATTTACAGCCAAATGATCTTTGACAAAGCCATCCAGAAAA